GCTAAGGCACATGGACACTGTTATATAAGGAAGAGTGAAAGTACTGTGTAGATTCTAAAGAGGGAGAAGATGATAATACAAGCAGGTAAGATTTAACATTCAGTGGTACCAAGAGCAGAGGCAGAAGGTCTCAGGCAGCACTGCTAGAGAATACAAAATTCTCGGTCTCAAAAGGTTTACAATCTTGAAATGGGGCTAAGGCACATGGACACTGTTATATAAGGAAGAGTGAAAGTACTGTGTAGATTCTAAAGAGGGAGAAGTTGATAATACGAGCAGGTAAGATTTAACATGCAGTGGTACCAAGAGCAGAGGCAGAAGGTCTCAGGCACCAAATGTAAAGGGAAGTTTCAAGGAAAGCTAAGAAGGTATGTTAAGGTTCTATAGCATTTGACCTTGACTGCTAGGCAGAGGAATTGTGTTGATTTAATAAAGAGCCAGTGGAAGACAGATATATAGAGATTTGTGTTTTAGAAACTAATCCAGTAGGAGTATGTAAGTTTGACTGCAGGGAAAAGAATAACCACCTAGTTGATGAGAGTTTGCAAGATATGACTCCTGATTGTACACAGAGATTAGTCAGATTTTCTAACTAGGTAATTGAGAGAATATTGGTCCTATTAGCACAAAAAATTAAATCAGAAGAGCATGATTTGGAAAGGGATTTAAGAGGCCTATACAGGGTTGAGGCACGGTGGTTAAGCATTCAGCTGCTAACCAGAATGTTAGCAGTTCAAATCTACCAGCCACTACATGGGAGAAAGATGTGGCAGTCAGCTTCTGTAAAGATTTACAGCCTTAGAAACACTATGCGGGCAGTTCTGCTCTATCCTGTAGGATGACTATGAGTCAGAATTGACTTGGTGATAGGGTTGGGTTGGGTTTGATATAGGCTGAAGTCACATGAATGAATGTGCACAAAGAGAACATAGCCAACCTTTAAATTATGTCTATACTTAGGAAGGACAAAGGAAAGAGAGTATCTCCTCCTCAACTAAACTTTTAAGTAGGTTCGATATCCTTTGCTTTCTTTTTGTGTCCTTTGTAGTAGAGTTTAATAAATTGGTGGTTGAGTGTATAGAAAATAAAACCACGAAACTGATTAAGATTCTTATCTACAGGATGAGGATGAAGAAGTTTACAAGAGAGATTTCAGTGCACCTACTCTGGAGGATCATTTCAACAAAACCATTCTTCCCAAAGTCATGCAGGTATGGGGGACCTTAGTAACACAGGAGAGAAAGTAATGTATTGAGGGCTAGGGTGTGGTCTGTTTGGTGGTATAACTTATCTGTTCTTCCTTTAGGTCAAGAACTTCGGACGCTCTGGCCGTACCAAATACACCCACCTTGTGGATCAAGACACCACCTCCTTCGACTCAGCCTGGGGTCAAGAGAGTGCCCAGAATACAAAGTTCTTTAAACAAAAGGCAGCTGGGGTACGAGATGTATTTGAGCGGCCATCTGCCAAGAAGCGGAAAACTACTTAGAATTTATCTACTTAGTCTTCCAACTCTAGGACACAGAAAAATTGCAGCACTTGGTCCTTGATTTGTTTTTATTTACATGGTATCTGACTTATTGGAACCATTGTCATACTTGTGACACTGAGCAACCCAGCATTTAAAGAAGGTGCTTTATGAGGTTTGGACTCATGCTAAGAAACCTACAGAAAAGCACTGTCCAGGTAGGATTAGTGACCACCTACTTAAAACTTTGAGAAATCATAGGTTTCATTGCTGCTGTGGCTTCCAATAATCACTAGAAATTGTTCATTTTTCTAGGAGCTGAGAGTGAGTCAGAAAACATGGGCATGTAAATGGACAATAATTACTTCTGACTTAGAGTTAGGGGTGATAAACTAGGAAATTTAAGTTCATTACAACCTGTTTTACATTTCTTGGGGTAAATTTTTATAAATGAAACATAACTTCTTGATCAATTTCTGTGTGTGTTAATAAATAAAAGAATCACACACGAAGAGGATTTTTAGCATAATAATTGGAAATAAATGTACAGGCTAACGAGTATGTAACTATTAAATAAAATAAAACCAGGAACTTTTTTACATAGGGTGTTTCACATTTTGATTCCCCTTGATCTAGTAAGTAGACTGATAGACAGGGTTTGTTCCATGATGTGTTTGCTTTTCCCTACTCTCAAAACTTACAGCTATACATGGATCAAAAAGCTGACCCATAAAATGGACATTCATCTTACTGAATCCAAGGAAAAAGTACATACCGGTTATCTTCTCCTTGCCTAGTTCATATATTAAGGAGGGCACCAAGGCTCTCAGTTGCAGTGCAGTAGCATCTTGTTTGAGTTAAATTCAACTCAGTGATTTTCCCATTTATTATATAACCACCACACACAAGGCACAGCACTAGGAGCACAGGGGCATAAGGACTAAGACATTTAATCAGTGGAAAGACTGTTTCTTGACTTTACAAAAGTAAGACCAAGATCTTTTCACATCCTTTATGAGGCCAAGCATTTTTAATTGACCAGCTCATCAACAGTTAAAACCTAGTAGTTTTACAATTGAAGAACAAAAGCATAGGATGACTTGGCCTAAATTGGTAAACTTTCTAAGTGAAATTATCTTTTTCTCAGGATAGGAAATGGAATGTAAGGTAAACTGGCATTCCATCTACAGAGTATGGCTTTTGGGCAGGAACTGGCCTTTCAACAATTTATAAGCTAAGCTGCAGACCAGCCTTAGAGAATCATCCAAGTATCTTACTAAAATACAGATTCTTAATTCAGTGTATCTGTGGTGGAAATGCAAATTATCAGAAGGGGATCGAAGAAGAATGAACTGGTTCAAAGTTCCGTGGAGACATATGCCATAGGGTAAAGCAGCATTGTTAAGAGTCCAGATGTACCTTACATACTGCTGAGTAAGTCTAGTCAGATGAATGAGGCTGACCTAGCTAACATCTACATCTGAAGGCTGCCTACTAACGAAATAGTAAAGATGTAAATCTTCTCTGATTCTTCACATAAACTCATTAAGAGTTGAGGGGAGTCACTTAAATTCAGTTATACTCCAACATACAAACTACCTACAATAAAGTAGGTATAATATACACTGCACTTGGTCTAAGATGATAAAACTTCAAAAGAAGACAAAAACATCTTTATTTGCAATAAGTTAATCCAGTGGGTGTGTCTGAGAAAGCACAAATCAGTTGGTTAGTGCAATAAGAGCCTCGACCACATTCCCCATGTGCTCTCGCAAGCTCCGTTCTGCTGCTGCTCTTGAGATCTCCATCTCTGTCATCTGTAGGAAAATGATCAATCATGTTACCTGAGATTCTTACCAGGCATTTAACATGCTACCAAAACATGCTGACTCCATTTCTAACATAAGTTTCAGGAAACAACCCAAATTAAGCAAAGCAACATTCACTAGTTCACCATTACTACTCACTATCAGCTCCAGATCTTCCTTTTTGATGGTGACTTTTGCCAGTTCCTTCTCCCTGTAAGTATTTATGTGTATTAGTCTTCATTCTCTACCTCCACCATGAACTGCCAAGAATGATCCTGGCCATGCCTTGCAAATAAATGATTCTTAATAAACATTTGTGGAATGAAAATACTGACTCCCACCTGCCCTCCACCGTTTCCCCAGCTGCAGGAGGTGTTGCCTGACCTTCCCCTTCCACTAACAAAAGAATGAAGTTGTAAACCCTTCATCTGCACTAATAATAATGGTTTTTCTTTTTGTCTGGGTCTGGGGAAAAAAAGGGGAACGGTAGGACTGGCTGCATGTGAAGACTTACCGTTCTTGTTTGGCTTTCTGTTCCCTGGACCGTCTATCTCCAATCACTGACATGGCCTATGGAGAACACAAGTCTAGTTACTGCCACAAGTTCTGTCTACTGCAACACCCAATGACCTAAAAAAGCAACGCCAAGCAGGTTACGTATGCATTAGTGATGACAAGTGTATTAGGAACCAAGGACTGTTTAATTCAATCTTGTGCACAAGGTCCACTTTAAGCCCAATTTTCATTAAGTTCCTCTTGGATAAGCAGAGAGCTCCCGGTGGTAGCTGTTTCTCTCAGCTCTACCCTCCTGCCTACTCCCACCAGGAAATCAGGACCCAATACTGGAGCTCTGGCTTCCAACTACAGCCTCTGGGCACCCGCCGCTCTCAGTCTGCCCAGACACGCTCCCGGTCGACCTCACCGTCTCCAGATTAGAACTTTGGATCTCCTTCTCCTCCGCATAGTCTGTGACCCGCTCCAGGTCCGCCGCACCACTATCATGCTTCCGTGGCTTGTCGGGTGGCCGCTCCGGGCCGCTGGTCTCAGTCTCTAACTCCAACTCCACATCTCCTTCGGTCGCCATGTCGATCCCACCGCGCCGCCGCCCTGCGTCACGACGGTTTCCGGGAACTGCCCCATAGTTTCCGCCCCAAGGAGGAGGTGGGGCAGGCTCTCGGCCACGCCCACACGAGGCGCTGACATTAGATGCTTTGGAGAGGAAAGTAGCTGGCCTCTCAAGGCTTCCTTTAGGGTTTGTACAGTGTTTCTTTAAGGCCTTTTCCCAGACCTAACACATATCACCACTCCAGACCCCACCGACCATGTCCTTCTCCAGTACGTCCCAACCGACATCCTCCTTCCTTCACTTAGAATGTTACACACAGACACCCACACGTTCAACTTAGATAGATGATGTCTAATCCTAAACCAATTAAGAATGCTAATCCTCAGGAGGCTAGATATGCAAATTGATCCTTAATCTGGGGAGAACAGCCTGAGTAGCCCAAGGGATGGGCCCTACAAAGAAAATACCCTCACAGGGGCGTTTGCATTTGCTACATCCTGGAAATCAGCGGTTCCTCTCTTGATGTCTCCCACACTCTGGCCTTGCTGCTATAAACTGGGAGACCCGCCGAAGCACAGAGGCAGTCCAATGGGCTGAGGACAAAACAAAGTCACTACTTTCCCATCTGGTGGACCTGGGCCTCATTCCTGAGACAAGGATGATGGGGGCAAAGGCTATCACAAGCCCCAGCACCTCCCTCTGCCTGGCACAACAGCACAGTGGAGTCAGCAATGCCATAGTGAATTCCCCCTTCTATCAGGTGAGAGGGCATTTGGGAAGATAGATTTGAAAACTCCCTTGATTAAAGGCTATCTGAAAAATATGAAGGGGAGGGTGGCTGGAGCTGAAGAAGAAGAAAATGAATGGGAACCAATCAAGACAACAGGCTTCCTTTCCCCTCTGAGGCCCTTTTTAATGTTTTGCCTCTAAAATTAAACCAAGAAAGCCAAGCCCACTGCTCAGTTAATTCTAACTCTTAGCAACCCTATAGAACAAAGCAGAACTGCCCCGTATGATTTCCAAGGCTATAAATGTTTATGGAAACAGACTGCCTCATCTTTCTCCCTTGGAGCAGCTGATGGGTTCAAACCACTGACCTTTAGTTAACCACTGTGCCACCAGAGTGCCTTCCTCTAAGATTACTGAGTAGTAAATCTCTCCCATGTTCCTCCCAGACCCAGAGGATTAAATCTAGGGAAGTGTCAGAGGCTTTTAAGAAGGTTTCCTCAACCCTGCGGGTAAGCTCTTCTGATGAAAGCCCTGCTAGTTTTCAGTGGAAGGCAATTCTGAATAGATTGGAACAAAACATTAAGAATTCCTGAGTAAAATGAGGAAAAAAGAATAAATTTTGGAATACAATCTCATGGGTTAACCTCACATCCACATTATGTAAGCCTTTCCTAGCAAATCTCCACCCTGCTGCCCTGTATCTGCTCTACCCCCAGGTGTCCCGCTGTGGCCCTGCTTCATGTACCAGTTGCTGCCACTCTAGGTGGCCTCCTTTCAGAGAGTCCACTTGTAGCCGCCTGTTCTACATCCTCCTACATGTGGGAGCCTCAGCAGTCTGCTGCCTCCTGCTGTCAAGGACAGTAGTAGAAAAAATCTGGGGCAAAGGGCATGGGGTAAGTAGGAGAGGATTGGGTTGGAATGTGGGGAAGGATAAAATAAACTTCTGAGAGACTCAGCCTTGGTGGGGTTTGGCAAATGAGTGGACATATTAGGGAGAAGTAGGAACCTCTCCATGTATATGACTTACCATGTCATTTCTCACACACACCCTCCCTCTAGATCCAGATGCCCTCATGGGTATGTGCCCACCTGTTTGGCCACTCTGATTGTCCAGTGCTCAGTGGCTCTGGGGCTGTGTACAGAGTATGTGCAGGAACTGCTACCTTCCACCTGCTGCAGGCTGTGCTGCTGGTCCACCTGCACTCCCCTACCAGCCCACGGGCACAACTGCATAATAGGTTTGTGTGTCCTCTCTCAGTGGGGAGGAATAAGGGAAGAAATTAGACACAAGATGGGTAAAGGAGATTCAAGGATGAGGAAACAGCACTGTGGAAAGACAGAAAACTTGGATTTAAGGCCCTGCTTCCTCTGTACTTGCTGTGTCAGCATAAGCTAGATATTTATCCTCTTTTGAGTTTGTAGTCTCTAAAATGGAGATATCAGTGAGGCTATTATCATAGGCAAAACCCTTCGTAAAGTGTAAAACACTGCCCAGATGCTCTTTTGGTATCTAAGGGTTAGAATAACCCTTTCCTCTACTTGGTTATCTCATCTGCCCTCTTTCCTGTGTTTTGCTTTCTCCTTCGCCTTCCCCTGCAGTCACTGTTTACTTTTTTTTAGAGTAGTATTTTATTCTGTTTTTAGTGAAAGTTTACATAGCAAATTAGGTTCCCATTTTACAATTTCTATACAAATTGTTCAGGGCCATTAATTTTGCCTTTTTTCCCCCGAGTCTCATTTTCTTTCCTTCCTAACCAGCTTCTGGCTCCTCAAGCTGCTGTTCCTAGTAGGTCTCTGTGCTGTGGCCTTCTGCATCCCTGATGAGCATCTATTCCCAGGTACTCTCCATCTCACACCCTGGTCAGCAAATGTAAACTAAAAGGTTTTCTAAGTCAAAAAGAGGGCAGGAAGAGGACTAGGAATCATGATGTGACCAGCTACTTTTTCCCACTAATGCCCATCTTGCAGCCTGGCATTACATTGGTATTTGTGGAGGCTTCGCTTTCATCCTGCTGCAGCTGGTGCTTATCACAGCCTTTGCCCACTCCTGGAACAAGAGCTGGTAAGGGCACATAACCCAAAGGGCTCTTCCTGGGGATGTCTGGCTGGCATTAGTAGGCCCAGTGGGGTAGGGCAAAGGGCAAGGCAGATCAGTGGTCCCATATTCTCATTGAGCAGTACTAAAAAAAGCTCAGGATTGTGATGGGCCAGGTTGGATGGTTAGTCACGCCAAGAGAAATAGTAACAGGCAGAAATAAACAGTTGGAGCACCAAGCCATTGCCTACCTCCCACCCCCAGGGAGACAGGTGCAGCCCACAACTGCAGCTGGTTTCTAGCAGTATTGCTGGCCACTCTGGGCTTCTACAGCACAGCAGGTGTGGGAGCTGTCCTTCTGTTTCGCCACTACACACACCCGGCTGGCTGCTTGCTCAACAAGATGCTGCTTAGTCTACACCTTTGCTTCTGTGGTCTCCTCTCCTTCCTCTCCATGGCTCCCTGCATCTGCCTCAGTAGGTACACACCCTACAACATTCAATTTTGGGGGCTTTTTAGTATAGCAGATTTCACTGGTTTCCCATCTCAATCTACAGAATCTCTGCTTCCCTTAAAGGGTGGGAAGGCAGAAGCAGGGATGGGAATAGGAGTGGAGGAAGTTACCACCCTATAAACAAACTAATGATCCCCATTATCCCCAGAGCAAACCCGCTCTGGCCTTCTACAAGCCTCCATCATCAGCTGCTATATCATGTATCTGACCTTCTCTGCACTGTCCAGCCGTCCTCCAGATATAGGTAAAGACAGGACCTAGATTCCTCATACTAAAGCCTTTTTGCTCGTCAAATACCCAGTTCCTTGTTCTTACCATTCCCTCCTCTCTTACCCCTTCCCAGTAATCCTTCAAGGACAAAATCACACCTTGTGCCTACCTGGCCTGAATAACATAGGACCCCAGACACCAGATACCTCCCTGGCAGTGCTGAGTGCTAGCATCATGTATGCTTGTGTGCTTTTTGCTTGGTACGTAAAGGTGTCAAGAGGTGTGAGAGGAGGGAGGACGTCCAGAGGGAGTGGACATGTCTGGGAGTATGATTTATTTAGACTCTACACTTTAAAGCAAGACTAGAGTGAGGAAAGCTCCCCATGAACAGGGACTATTTCTAAGAATAGCATTTTGTCAGATGATCTCTGTGAGGCAGCAGAGCAGGGGCAGCAGGTAGGGACTTAAGAATTAAACATTCATGTAAACATCTCAGGGCCCTCATACCAAAAAAAAAAAAAAAAAATGTCTAAATCCCTGCAAGCTCTGGATAAATCTTTTGGGGTAAAGGTATCAGAGACCAATATGGGACCTACCGACACTAAGTGCTCACAGACTACCTGACTAGGCCCACTTGAAAACTCTCTGTTCTTTCTCAGTAATGAGGCTTCCTACCTGGCTGAGGTATTTGGGCCCTTGTGGATCATCAAAGTTTACAGCTTTGAGTTTCAGGTGAGAATGGAGAGCTCAATATCCCCAAAGCTCTTCTCCCCACCCACCCACCCACCCACACCCATACCTCCACCCACACACACCCTACCAGAATGCTCTACCCAGAATGCTCAGATTCTAGCTGCTAATACCTTTTATTGAGTACCCACAATGTGCTAGGCACTGGCTAAATACTTTACATACATCTCATTTAATTTAATCCTCACAACAACCCTGTGAGGTAGGTACTTGCTCCATTTTACAAGTGGAGAAATAGAGGCACAGATTAAACATCTTAAACCAGAGGTCTCAGTTATGTGCGAGAGCTGGAATTTGAACCCACTCTTTACACAAGACTCATCTTTTCAAAGAAAGGTAGTTTCCTAGATTAACAGCCTCATGTTCTTTACAGTCATTCCAAAACATGCTGCCTTCTGTTTTTGCAGAAGCCCTCTCTCTGTTTCTGCTGCCCCAAAACAGTGGAGCCAGAGGAAGGTGAGTGTCAAGTAAGGATCCCCAAGCAAAAGTAGATCTCTGTAGAGTGCCAAAGAGCCTTCAAGAGCTTCCAGGAAAGAAGCTGGGGAGGAGGGAAGAGTCAATTTTAGCAGAACTGCTCCCAGCAGGCCTTCCATCTCTCCAGGACCAAAGGGTAGGGCTGCCAGGCCAAGTTACCAAGAGACCACTCCAACTCCTCCAGTGCAAGCCCAGCATCTTTCCTACAGCTATTCTGCTTTCCACTTCGTCTTCTTCCTTGCATCACTCTATGTCATGGTTACCCTTACCAACTGGTTCAGGTAGGATGGATTTGGGCCTGAGACATTCTCCTGGTAACATAGCTATTTTGTGCAAAGAGAATTCAAGGCCATTCCTAAGGATTCTGAGGAGACACACATCAGTCTGCCATAACCTTTGGGTGGGGAGGCAGGATAGGTCTAAAACCAGAGCTGCTGCATATTCTCTAACTAGAGTTTTTCATTCCACAGCTACGAGGGAGCAGAACTTGAAAAGACTTTCACCAAGGGTAGCTGGGCTACCTTCTGGGTCAAGGTTGCCTCATGCTGGACCTGTGTACTCCTCTATCTGGGGCTGTTACTGGCCTCCAGTCTGGGTTCTTCTAATAAGCTGGGATTCCCTTGAGGTGGTGCTTCGGGGAGCTGTCCAGCTCAGCTTAATATCTCAAGAACACAACAGGCAGTTATCTCCCTTTAGGTTAAACAGTTCTATGTCTGAATTGGAAGAACTAACCATATACACTCTAATGCCCTGGTGGAGTATTTGACTCAGTGAACTCTTGTTATGTCTTCATCCCAGCTCCAGAGCCTAACTCCCAAGTCAGCAATCCAGGAACCACTGCTGATCCTAGCAGAGTGTGGCACAAGCCTTTTCCTGGTTCTTGAGCTAGAGATGGGTATGGGGAAAGACCAACAGGGTCTGAAGAACTTGGCTCTGCCCTTGGAGATAAAAAGGAAAACAAGCAGTTCAGTCCTGGGCCCAGGAATATAAGAAGCTCAGAACCACAGAACCAGGACACGGAAGAAAGGAGCACAGGGACTACCCCAGGTTTTAATCCTGATATTAAGGTCAAGGGAAGACAAAAAACCACCCTTATTCCATGAGGAATGACAGAGCAGAAGAGAATGTGAACACTTGAGAGCAACAGGATTTTTTGGCCAACTTTCAAGCAGGAAAACAGACTGAGGAAGAATGAGAAAAAGGGACATAAACTTAAGTCTTAGAGCCTTCCCTCTTAGGCCCTCAACTCCATCCTTGGGATGGTGTTCAAGGTCTGTGTGGGGGACAAAAATAAATCACAGAAAAAAAGTTCCTGTAGTTCTTAGAAGATTCTTCTACTAAATCCCCATAGTTCTCGTCTGGTTGTTATAGTATAATAAAGTTTTTTTTCCTGTGAAGTTTCATTTATCAGTCTACATATCCACAACCTTTCAGGAGTCTAAAGTTATCTCCCCTTTTGGTGGGAAAGGGCAGCCATTCCTCCATCCCCATCCCCCCAAATCCCCAGTCAAACCAGGCGCTCAAGGAATTACAAAGCTACTTTTAATACTTTGGGGTGAGCCCCACAGGAATAAAAAACACTGGGAGGGAGTAACCCCCTCACCCCGAGGTGTGGCCCAGGGGGAGAGGGGCTACCTGAGGGGAAGGAAGCACAAAAGGGACCCGCTGCAGACTCAGGGCAAAGGGAATGCCATCGGTGCTGTGGGACCTGTGAGCACTAGAGAAGGAAACGCGAGCGTGGTGGGACTGGCTCCAGGCACACAGGCGAAGGGCAAGAGGGTTGGACACGAAGCCACAAAGCTACTTGGGTTCCTCCTTCTTCTCGTTTGCTTTTTTCTGCTTCTGCTGCATGATCTCCGAGTCCCTGGGGGTAGAGATGATGGGGCACTGGGAGGTACCAGAGGGCAAAAAGGACAAGATGCAGGGGGATGAAGGGCACAAAGGATAAGATGGAAGTGGATGGGACAAAGTTCAGCATGTAGCTGCTGTATTCCCACCCTAGGAGAACAAGAAGAAGAGAGCTGAAGCTCAAAAGGCAATCAGTCTCCATCTGGCTGTTGCCCAAAGGGTCAGAACTCTGGCCTCACAGGCCCAAGGTTAATGCTGTCTATTTTGTGCTGAGTACCAGTACCACACCCAGTTAACACTAGTGAGAAGGTTGGGAGAAGGGAGGTGAAACAAAGCACAGCAAGGAGCAAAAAATTCCGGGCTCTCATAACCACAACTATATTGGAAAACGTGCAGCTCCCTGCCCTTACCCTTAACATGGTCAGACCCAGGGGCACTCGGAAATCAGACCGAGGGCAGGCACACGCCCCAGTCCCTTCCTGTAAGACCGTGAGCTAACAATTTGGAGTGCAGGGAGGAAATAAAACCCTAAAGAAAACAATGCCCCTCACAACCAGCCCAGGCTCGAGCCCTGAAGTACCTCTCTTTCCTAGTATAACCCTTAGTCTAACCCAGGTTCTTTCACCCGCCCCTCCCCTCCCTGGGGCTACCTCTGCTTGCGGGCAGCAGCAGAAAGCCCGTCATCTCGGCGCTTTCCTTTAACCGAGTCGCTCTGCTTTTTCATATTCTTCTGGCGGGCGAGCTCGCGCTGGTTACCGCCTAAAGGAAGAAGGTAAAAGTTGAGACGTGGGGGCCGCTCTGGCTACACACTGGCGACCGTCTTCCCCTACCCAGGACCCATACCGGCCCATCTTGGGGACTACACGGCTAACGTAGTGGGGAGGGGAAGTGGCAAGGCTGCCACGGGGCAGGTCAAATTGGAGGGTGGAAGGAGGACAGTTCCGAGGAGCCTCCCGGAGGGGTGTTGAGTTTCGAGGCGATGTGGGAACCCAGACAGGTGGTGTTCTGTGCATGGACTGGGTTGGGTCTCTGTGGGGGGAGGGGCTGGGTTCTGAAGTAAGGGGCTCTGGGCCTATCACAGGGGCGCAGGGCTTCTCCCCACAAGCTGAAGGCTGGGGGGAATAGATGCCCGGGGTGGGGGGGTTCTCGAGAAGTCTCGATTTCCGGGCTCCGAGTGTGAGGGTCGCTAAACAACGGTCCCTAAGAGTGGCTTCGGCGGGGAAGCTGCGGGGACGTCAATGCCAGCGATTCAGCGGTCGTGTTTAGGGTGAACCGGGAGGAAAGGGCAAGAGGAGGGGGTCGCGGTGCTCACGGGTCATGGCGACGGCAGCGGCTCCGGCCTGCCTAGGTTGCGTCCCCTCGTTCTGTCTGACGTCGTAGGCCCCGCCCCTTTCTATAACGTAACGGTTCGTCCCTTTCCTCCCCTCCCTTTCGCTTCTAGACGCGGACTCCTATAGGGCAGAAGGAAGCACGTGGGCCGCGGGCCACTCTCTAGCCCGACCGGATAAGGGGCGGAGGTTCGCAGAGCAAGCGCGCAGCGTGGGGCGGGGTTTCCTGAGCTAGGCTTTGGGCCGGGCCGGGGAAACTAGGCCGGGTCACGTGGGTGTGGTGGGGGTGGATGGCTGCGGCTGACGATGTGGCGCTCCCGCGGGCTTGAGCACGTGATCAGGTAGAGTGACCTCACGCGGGGACGGTTTGGGGCGCTGACACACTAGCCCAGAGGAAAAGCGCGAAGCGGGTGGGCGAGGGTGAAGGAATGGTGGAGTGCCAAGGTGGCTCCTCCGGTTTTGTGTTGCCAGGTCTCGATACGTAGGGTCCTCATCCTCTCCAGCCACTTATTTAGGCAATTCACATGTCCTCAGTCTGAAGTAAAATCTTGCACAAACGCAACTTTAGAACCAACCCTTCCAACGAAATTGCCCCTCCCTAAACAACTCCAAATAAGAGTTATGGTGGCGTGGCTAAGATATTTGGCTGCATAAGTTCCATCGGTTCCTACCCCCCAGCTGCTCCGCGAGAGAAAGATGAGGCAGTCTACTTAACCGAAAAATTTACAGCCTCGGAAACCCAATGGGGTCGCTATGAGTTGTAAGCCACTGATGATGGCAGTGGATTTGGTTTGGCTTTAAATCCCTCCAAAATAACTCTGATGGCGCAGTGCCTAAGTAATTTGACTGCCAACCAGAAGGTTGGCGGTTCAAATATACTAGCTGCTCCACGGAGGAAAGACTGGGCGATCTACTACTTCTACTAAAGATTTACGGCCTCAGAAACCCAATTGGGGTCGCTATGAGTCAGAATTAACTGGATGGCAGTGGGTAAAGGAGCTCTGGTGGCGCAGTGGTAAAGCATTTGCAAACCAAAAGGGTGATGGTTCGAATCCACCACCAGCTTCCTGGGGAAAAGATGAGGCAGTCTGCTTTGGTAAAGATTTATAGCCCTGAAAACCCTATGGGGCAGGTCTATTTTGTCCTATAGGGTCACTGTGAGTCAGAATTGACTCAGATGGCAGTGGGTTTAAGCCCTTCAATATGGAAATTGGCAGGCACAATTAGATCCTAAAACATTGATCCTGGTACATTCCCCACAGAAACTTTAAATACAAAGGTGCAGGAGACTTCGCCCTAAACATAGAGTTGTTCCGGGGTCAGTAAACCTCAGTTAGCAACACTTTTGATATCTGAAATACTATTACTCACATATTTTTTTAATTACTCATAAGTAAAGGATATAAATAAACTGGACTGCTAACCAGAGGCTTGCGGTTCAAACCCATCAGCTGCTTCTCAGAAGGCAGATTGAGCAATCTACTTCCATAGAAATACTGCCTCGGAAACCCAAGGAGGGGGTTGCTATGAGTCGGGACCAATTCATTGGCGATGAGTGTTTTTTTTGGTATCATCCACAAGTAGAAACTATAAAAATAAATATGATTGCAACATGGTAACATCAGACCTCGTCTAACCAGTGTCAGCGAGAGAGGTAAGAATTGCCATCTCAAAGATGAGAATCACTATTAGTCCAAAGCTAATTCCTATGAAGTAGAAGTCAGACATACCTCCACTCACCAACCTTTTTACCAATTCTGACACCAATTATCCTTGCCATGGCTCTGTACTTCTCTGCTCGGTTCAATAATTGCAGTGGCCACACAGAACTCACAGACCATACTCACAGTTGTGGAGTATATGAGAGAAGTATCAGGATCAACTTGGAAATAACAGGAATAACTCAGGAGACAGTTGTCAGTAAGCTGTCTCTACCATTCCCAGAGCCGGCAGGCCTTACTCTCAGCCTCTGCCCTGCTCGGGCAAGTTTTACAGCTCTTTAGCTCCATTAGTACATATTACATGTAGTTGTTAGGTGCTGTCAAGTCGGACCCAACTCATAGCGACCCCTCCTTGGATTTTCGAGGCAGTATCACTACGGAAGTAGATTGCCCCATCTTCCTTCCAAGGAGTGGCTGGTGGGTTTGAACCGCCAGCCTTCTGGTTAGCAGTCAAGTGCCTTAGGCACTACACTACCAGAGCTCCTACATAGAGATATGGTATTCCACTAGGAAGCCTCTTGTCTGAAGGCACCTAACTCTCCCAAGTGCAAGCCTGCCACAACCATCTGCCAGCCTGCCATCTCTGGCTGCTTCCAGTGTTAAACAGCTCTTTCTGTCTCCTGGGTTTAGGAGGTTCTCAGTATAGGGACCCCTGAGTCGGATCTGACTCCATGGCACATAACAACAACAACGAGTGCAAAGGACACACTCTACTCTAGGTTCTTCTTGATGTTAATGAGGTCTCCCTCAGCCTCTGTGAGACTGGCTCTTTTAAGCCTAACAGGATGGCAAAACTGACCCTTGGTAGATAGCACCTTATTTTCATAGTTGCTGTCCAATCCCTACAAAAGTTTTATACATCTTATTTGCATACCCAAACCCACTGCTGTTGAGTCAGATCCAACTCATAGCAACCTCTCCTTGGGTTTCCAAGGCAGTATCACTACGGAAGTAGATTGCCCAACCTTCCTTCCGAGGAGTAGCTGGTGAGTTTGAACCTCCAGCCTTCTGGTTAGCAGTCAAATGCCTTAGTCACTATGCCACCATAGTCCCAGCCAATCATTTTGTGGGAATTAAGAGACCATGGCTAAAAAGATCATATAAAAGTAATTCACTGCACCACAACAATATAAATAAAAGATACTAAATTCTGCTGCAATCATGCCATTGTCAAATGTGCTGAGCCTGAGGCTTGCCCTCCTTTCTCATAAAGGGAATTATTAACAAGCGTTAAAACAGTAATATGGCATAAGTCTTCCCAACCTAACCCTTCTCTTGACATAATCAGAAGATTGAAAAGCATTTCATTTTTTCACTTTGTTATTTAATGCTGTATCTGTATGTTACCTAAAATGGCTTCTCATGCCATCAGTAGTATACATCTCTTTGTATAGTATTATATACTCTTTGGTACATACTATTGGTACATACTATATGTAGTACATCAACATTGGTGACATGCATAACTATACAGATTCGGACTCTCTTACTTACTGGATTTCAGGTTTGGGATACCTGTTTTCTCCATACTTGTTATGGATTGAATTATGTCCCTAAAAAATATGTGTTGTAAATCCTAACCTATATGCCTGTGGTTATAATCTCATTTGAGAATGAGTTGTCTTTGTTATGTTAATGAGACAGGATTAATGTAGCTTGTTTTTGTCAGTCTTTTGTGAGATACAAAAGACATTAAACACAAGCCAAAAAGCAAAGATGGGGTCTTAGATGCCAAAACACACAGAGATCTCCAAGGAACCAGGAAGCAGAAGGTGAAGAGACAAAGACCTTCCTCCAGAGCCTACAAAGAGAAGAATCCTTCCCTTAGACCCAGGACCTTGAATTCAGACTTCTAGCCTTCTAAACTGTGTTGGATTGGGTTCTCTAGAGAAACACAAAACACCAGCAAAGTGTATATATATATTTATAGAGAGAGAAAGAGAGAGAGAGAGAAATTTATCTTAGATAAATGGCTCACAAGCGTGTAGAAGCCGACAAGTTCAAGCCACAAAGTTCGTCTCTGGAGGGGGATG